GGAACAGCACGGACAAAGGCATTGAAACTTAGAAGTTTATTTGTATTGGGCACCGCTGAAGTGTTCTGAGTAGAAGAGTAGATGAGGTGGGGGATGCGAGTGGCGGGAGATGACTCTGGAAAGCTGGGTTGTCACAACCAGTTGTGGCCAAATGACCAAAAGATCAAAGTCAGGTTGCTTTTGGTCCTGGGCCCTCACGAACTTTGATGCTGGCCTTATTTTTCTCTCCAGAAGGAAAAAGGAGTAAGCGCTATTAATAACTATGATCTCCAGGAACAATAGGAGACTAAATCCATTCAAGCAGGACCTTTTCATTTGTTCACTTTTTTTCATTCATTCAACAACCATGTAGCCTTAATAAAAAATGACAAATGCAACTGGCCCAGTATACAGGGGAAATATGGACTGGGCAAACCATGGCTCTGAAGAACCTGTGGAGACACAGCAAAAGCAGAGGAAGACAAAGGGTGGTGGTGGGAGGGGGCCGCAAAAGCTCCCTGGGAGAGCGGAGAAGCCGAAGTCAGTCAACACAGAGGGGAATCAGAAAGAACAGAAGGGTGAAGCAGGTTTTTTTTTTTGTTTTTAAAAAGAGGGAAATAGGAGAAGGGTAAACCATGGGAATGCAATGAGAATGTGTTTGTGAGAAATTGAGATGCAATGTCTGTGGACATTTTGTTGGTTTGGTGGTGGGAAAAGAATTGTAAATATGCATCGTAGGCAAATACCTCGTACAATAAAATACCTTGTGAGAATGAATGGGAGGGCATGAGAGAAATCAAACATAGCCTATCGCATTGGTCCTGCCCTTGGGAGAAAGGCCAAGTATATATTCAAGGCAGTTGTTGCCAGTCTCCCAGCCCCTGGGGCAGAGCTGAAGTCTGAACCAGATGGGTTACGTGCATCTCCATTGGCACAAGCAGCTGCCAGGCCATCATTGGGCTTTTCTGTCCAAAGCAGGGAGGCACTGCTCCGCTCCCTCCACTCAGAGCCCAGTCCTTGAACGGAGGCTGGGCAGCCCAGGATTCCGCTTGGTACCTAAAGCGAGGTGGCTCCCCTTGGGCGGGTCCCAGAGTATGGTTCATTTTGGGTTTCGCTCTGCCATTGGTTCCTGTGTCCCACGGTGTATCAGCTCAGGTGAGTGGAGAGCAGTCCGATGTCCTTTAGGATGTGGTCTCCTCATGCTCCAGGCGGTGAAGAGCACAGAAGTGAGGCACTGGCTCAAATCAGGAACCATTGTCCAAATGGAAAGTCCTCAGAGATCAAGCTAGAGATAGAGACGTTGAGCCAAAAAGGCTGGGTTTGCAATCAGGAGCCTGCTCTTCACTTGGCCTCGACACCCGAGTCCTCCTCCTTTGAGTCCTCGAGATGAGAAAGTGGAGTTCAGTGGCCCGGATGGCCATCTTCATGTGCTCCCCAGGCAGGCCTGGGGCCAGCAGAACCAGAGTTCCCAGATCCACCGAGCCGACTGCCCTAGCCTCTTTCCCAGTCAGTGTCTGGCTCCAGCTCCCAGTCCTTGAGAGAACACTTCCCATGGTCCCCAGGATTGTGACACCCTCATTGTCACCACCTTTGCCAAGTGAGCTTTCCAGGGCTGGCCTGGGAAAGAACTTTTCTTTGTTCCTTGAGCTGCCAGCTCGTTTGACAGGCTTGGATCTGGTGTGGCCGTTCCAGCATCACTTAGCCCCCTCTACTGCCCCTAAATCCCTGCCCCTCCCTCCTCCTGCTCCCCTGCCCTGAAGGCTGCCGGCTTATTCCTTTTGGAGATGAACTCATTGTTGACTTTAACTCACTTCGATGTTTCCCAGGGAAGCATGCTGGCGGGAGGCCCACCCCAGCTCCTTGAAGAAGACAGCCGCACCAGTGCCAAGACTGGGTGCCAGGGCCCTTGCAACTGCCAAAATGCCTCCCATTTTATGGACAGGCCTGGCTCGACCTGAAGACATTCCAAGTATTTAATCAGCAGCCCATGGCACATTTTGGGTTGCAGAAGGATCCCTCAGAAGCCAGCCCTTTGGGGAGACGAAACTCAGCCAGAGGAAGGAGCCGGCCTTCTCTGTGGGCCAGGCTGATGCTCAACAGATGGAAAAATGCATCCCAATAACAATGATCAATAACCAAAGGCTGGCAGCTGCTGTGGCCTGGCCTGAGGGCTCCCTGAGGGCTCCGCTCTGCCCTCTTTCCCACAGCAGACTGAGTCCAGCCAGGATTCCATCTTACCCACCTCCCTGCACAAGCTCCGGGAGAGCGAATGGGCGAGGGAGGAACCATATTTCACATACTTTCTCTTTCAAAATGTAGCCCTGTTTCGCAACTTCCTACTTAAGTTCTGGAAGGCTCTGGGGTCAGACCCAAGCCACCTTCTCCAGCCACTGGCCTGGGTCTCTTATCCTTCTCACCACCAACCTGGTTAGCTAGAGGTGCCAGAGAAAGGCAACGGCCTACCTTCAGCAGCTTTCCCACCATCCCCACCAGTGGCTGCTCATCCAGGGTCTATGCAATGCTTCAAGGAGCCTCAACCAAGCCTCTAGCCAAAACCTGTTTATTCTTCACCCTGTGTCGGCTCCTTCCCTCCCGGAGAGCCAGGAGGTATGCCACACCAAAGCAGGTGCACCCAGCTCTGGTATGCCCGGGCTCAGCAAACACCGCCCCCCCCCCGCCCACCGAGGCATCTAATCTTCAGATCTTCTCTACTTTCCTATAACGAGGCTTTTGTTCCTCCTCGCTTTTACCAGCCAGATAGTCCTCCAGCCTCTTTGCAATGAATCCACTGAATCCTTCCGAACAGAACCTGTTCCCTCTGTGGTTTTTCTACCCTTACCACTTTTCACCAGAGTTTCCACCTGTTGTTCGCGTAAATCTGGTCCAGACCACAGCTGGAGGAGTCAGGGGCGGAAAAGCCAGCCCCTGGATTAGTGGCCCTGTGTCAGGGACTTGAATCAGGGCCCGGGGAGCTGACCCTTTTCCTAAATTCCCTCTCAGTCTTTCCAAACCAAACCAAACAAAGCAGAAGGGAGAAAAAAACACTTCAAAAAACAAGCCCAGAAAACACAACCCCATCGCCCAAAATGTTGAAATGGAAAACAAATCCATTCTCTGGAGGCTTGGTTTGAAACATACCAGAGCTGGCACTGGGTATGGTGGTCAGAAATGTGTTAGGCTGGATAAGTCTGTGATTCTGGAGAGGAAAGAGCTAACATTTTCCAAACGACAATGTGGGCAGGTAAGAGCCACATACAAATCACGTGCTGTTGTCGCCTAGGCCGTGGAGTAGGATTAGGAATCTTGACAGGACTCCCTCGCTCCAGCACTTGCTCGCTCTGAAAATCACATGTGGCTTGGGATCAATCCAATGTGGGCTGCTCCTAGGGCTGTGACCAGGTAACTGCCCCCCATCTTGAAACCCACATCCCACCTCCAGCTCAAAAAAACATGCTTACTCTTGAAAGGGCGGAGTGAGACAGACAGGGTAGGCCGGGCGGCGCTGTTTGCAAGGATGCGCTGGGACGGCACCCGGAAGCCCCGGTGTGTTGGTATTAGGAGAATTCCCTCTCACCAGTAATTCCGCACATGTGGGAGCTCAGGCCCCCCTACAGCCCATGTTCTGGTCCCTTCCTTCACTGCCTAGAGCCTCAGGAGCAGCTTTAGGAGGCGATGCAGCAAAGCAGAATGTCTCAGCTTCACCAGGATGACGTAGGAGGTACAGGAGGATCCAGATCACTCCATGTTGCTAAGGTTCTGGATTTTCCTTTTGACGTTGTTTTAGAGGAAAGCTTAAGACCATGCTTCTGAAACGTTTAACATGCGCGTGAATTACCTGGTGGATCTGTTACAAGGCAGATTGAGATTCTTTAGGTCTGGGAGGGGTCTGCGATTCTGCCCTAGCTCCCAGATGAGGCCGAGGTTGCTGCTCCGGGGCCACGCTCTGAGTAGTGAGGACCTAAGGATCTGGGAGACTGGGACAATTCAGAACCGGAGACAGCCAAGACATGCAGGGACTGAGGATCGATACCCAGAAGAAAGAGGAAAACAGAGAGGAAAATGGCGCACGCAAATCTAGTCAGAGGCTGAGGAGGTGGGAACAGAGAAAGACAGCGTGACAAAAAGATAGACACTGTATTCGTTAGAGAGAGAAAGGATAGAGTCAGAGAAACAAGGAGGGCAAAGGCAGAGAGGCAGAAATCAGAGATGGAAGACTGATAGGGCCAGAGAGACTGGCAAAGACAGAGCCAGGGTCAGGGAGAGGAGGCAAAGTGAGCAGCTGGGGGAGAGGCCGGAGCCAGCCGCCACAGCCCGTGACCGCCTAGGCTCCTGACCAGCAGTGAAGGGGCTCACAGGTATGGGGGGATGAGCCCCACAGAGGTCAGGTGCACAGACCTGAGATGCCACCTCCCAAACCTTCCAGCCTTCCCACACCTGTCCCACCTCTCCATCCTTCTCTAGAGTTATCCTTCCCCCCGGAGCCTGACATTTGTCTTTTACACTACAGCCAACATGATCTTTGCAAAATGCAAACCTGGTCATGCTGGCCTGCTGTTTAAAACCCTTCAACAGCCTCCCTGGGTTCTGAGAATACATCCAACTCCATGTGACCTTTCTGGAATCCTCTCACCTGACTTGCCCTCCAGACCTTCCAGCTCTATTGGCCTTCTTTCAGCGCCTTGAACACGAAGCTCCTTTCTGCCACAGGACATTTGTATGTGCTATGCCCTCTGTATAGGACTATGCTGTCCAGTACAATAGCTACTAGCCACATAGGGCTAGTGAACACATGAAACACAGCCAGTGCAACTGAAGAACTGAATTGTTAATTCAGTTACTGGAAAACTGTTAACTATTCTTTAAACATCTTGGGTATATGAATCTACTTTGCAACTTGAATTTCTACGAAATCTAAATACAGATCAAATATTTCTGGTGAAAATTTAGTGTCGGAATTAAGATCTGCTCTAAGTGTAAAAATACATGCAGAATTTTGAAGACTCAGTAAAAGAAAAAGAAGGTAAAAGATCTCATAAATACTTTTTTATACTGATAACGTGTTGAAAAGATAACATGTTGCATATATTTGGTTAAATAAAAGATCAAATTAACTTCACCTGTTTCTTTTTATTCTTTAAGTGCGGCTACTAGAAAATTTTAAATTATACAAGTGGCTCATATCATGTTCCTGTTGGACAGCGCTGGTCTAGAATGCTCCTCCTGCTCTGTCTGAACTCCTTCCACTCATCCTTCAGAGCTGGGCTCAAACATCACCTTCTTTGCTTCCCTGAGATAGAGTCTTTTATTTTTATTCCGTTTCATTCACTTTCATAGCTGTTTGCCAGGAGTTGCCTGCCCTGAACGCCACCTATTTGTAATTATACATTTATCTGGATGACTACTTGATTCACACCTGTCACCTCCACCCACCTCTAAGCTCCAGGAGAGCAAGGTCCGTGTCTGGCTCCCCTCTGGAAACCAAACACTTCATCCAGAGCCTGGTGCACGGATGGCTACCAGTGGGCACTTCAGAACGCCACCCGAGGCCATTCCATCCACTGTTCTGCCTCTGGATCTGACCATCCCCCAACCGTCTCAGAGAGCCTCAGCACTCCCTCCCCGAGTGCGCCCTTCAGCATGTAGATTCTACCCCTCCCGGATGGAAAGTCTTCCTTTATAGCTGACTAGAAGTCCTCCTGCTGCAAGCTGGCCGAGACCCTTCACTCAGTCCTTAGAGGGGATCAAAGCAGTGTTTCTCAAACTTGAATGTGTGTGCCAGTCCCCCGGAACCTTGTTAAAATGCAGGCCATCAGGTCTGGGATGGGGCTTGAGATTCTCATTTCTAACAAGGTGCCCAGGGATAACGTTGATGCTGGGCCACACTCTGAGTAGCAAGGATGTAGAAAAGCTGCTTATCACCCTGAGTAACCCCAAAGTTTTCTTCCTGCTCTGGACCTTCCACCTAGGAGGCCATTAGGGGTCTCTCAAAATTCAGCCCCGTCCCTTCCAGCTCCCGTGCGCACCCCGCCAACCCCTGTACCCTGAAAAGGAATGCGGTGTCTGTGGCTACTGCGGTCATTTGGTTTTTGTTTTTAATTTGAAATAAACCTTTAAGCAGTTTTCAGAGTCAGGGCAGCCCTGATATGGATCATGGGTGTGTAACAATACTCTCTAATGATAAAGTCACACAACTGGAAATGCTGAACAGTCCCCAAGCTTTGGCTCCTGTCTGCCACACGGGGCCAATCCTAGCAGCTCCTGAGGAGGCTCCGCTCTGCAGAGTTTGGGCTTGGACGCTGGGAGAGGTTCTCTGACACGTCCACAGGGAGCTTCGCAAACCAAGCGTGTGCTGCTGGGCCCTCTGCCAGGCAGAGATGAGCCCTCCAGCTCCCCACCCTGTTCACACAGAGATGTCTGAGGGATAGAAGTGTCTTCCAGCAGCCTCGATTGTGTGTGTGCATGTGCACGTGTGTGCATGTATGTTGGTTGCATGTTTGGACACGAGGTCTGTGTGTGTGTGTCTTTGTCCATGGATGTAAGGAGAGTGTGTGTCCGTGTTGCCCCCAGCACGCGCGTTCAGTAAAGCTTTCATCACACAGAGCAGCGCTGGACTCTTTCTGCATGGGCCCGGAGGCTGAACAATGTCCCTAGGTGGGCCCCACAGAGGTGACCGGCCCCACTGTCCCTTGGTGCTGCTGCTCTTGCTGACCCTTGCGTCTCCGAGAGCTGGCGCCCGCCTCCTTGCTCTCCTTCCTGCTCAGGTTCCTGTTGGCGTTCTCCCGCCGGCCCTGGCCTCCCTTCCGCCTCTTCTGCCCTGCAACCCCAACAGCAGGAAGAGTCAACAAAGGGCGTCCTGCCACAGCAGGGGGGCCCTGGGCACGGCCAAGGGCCCCAGGAGAGGAGGGGGGAGGAAGCTGGGGGGGGCCTGGAGATGCTTCCTTACACAGTCAGGGTCCCCTCAAGGTCTTCTCTGACCAGCAGCCACTTCAGAGGACCCTGTGATGTGGGCACTGAGAGGGGGGCCCCAAGAGCCTTTTCACCCTCCACCCCTCGATGAACCAGACACCCTCCTCTTTCTCAGGTCTTCCTCAGACCTTGGATCCAATGGACCAAGAGCATTTCCCAGATGTTCAGGGCAAGTCTCAGGACAGGCAGGGTGGCCCGCCACTCCTCCACCCCACACTACCGCCTCTGGGGCCAGCCACCACATCATTGCCAATGCAGGCTGTATGCCCTTGGCCAGATCACCACAACTCTCTGGATCTTAGCACCCCCTTCCACACCCCTACCTGACCTCTGGGGGCCCTTCCAGTGCCAACATCTGCTGGCTCAGAAGAAATGGAGAAACTGGAAGGATATGGACACAGAATCTTCCAGCTCCCACCACACAGAGTTCTGGGGGTTGCCCTCTGCCAGGATTTGGCACTGGTTTGCACAGCAGAGGGTCTTGAGTTGGGGCTCCCCATCTGGCCCTGGCTTGAGGCCCTCTCCTGGGCCACAGGCAGGAAGCACAGGTGGCCAGACCTCCTGCGGCTGTGCCTGACCCCCAACCCCAGGGAGGCAGAGGCTGCAGCTCACCCTCGGGACAGGGTATCCTCCGCACTGTGCACCTCCGGGTCTCCTTGGTGTTGGAGCAGATGGTGTGGTCCCCACCAGGGGCGTGGAGCACTCTCCGTGTCCGCTCCTCAGAGCCCTTCCGGAAACCACACAGCTTCTTCTTCTTGGAGCACGGCCCCCACAGGGACCACTCACTCATTTCACATTGTGCTGGCAGGAAGGGAGGGAAGATGGAAAGAAGGAAGAGGAGGAGGGGTCACGTCTCCTCTCCCGGCCCAGAACTCCCCAGGGCAGCCCCTCCCACCTGCCTTGGGCTGGAGGCATCTTTGGTCCAGAGGGTGGGAAAGTCCTGAGAGAAACCTCAGAGGGTGGTCGTGGGGTAAGCTTTCTTGGCACAGGGCCCCAGCCCGGCTGTCCCTGCTCAGATCTCCTGGCCGTGCCCCTCCCCCTGGGATCCGGACCCTCTGCTGCGCCCCCCACACCTACCAGGACTGCTGCACTCCATGGTGCCGTTGGCCGCTGCAGAGCCCTCAGGACAGGCCGGGTAGCAGCGGCCCTTGTGCAGGTACAAGCTCTCCTTACACTTGGTGCAGAAGTTGTGGCTGAAGCAGGCCTCGCAGTGCTCAATCTTGCATTCTGAGGGGAGGACCAGACTGGGGGTTCTGGCTCAGCCTCGAGTGGACACATCCTCTCATCCCCATCCCCACTGCCCACCCATCCACACCCCGCCACACAGGACGGGACTGGGTCTGGAGCAGTGACTACTGCAGAGGAGCCTTGGGAGGAAGAGGAAGGAAGGCAAGGATGGGGTGGGGGAGGGGCGGCTGAAGGGGCCACTCCTGAGGGCCTCCTGGGACTCCTGCCATGGTCAGACAACCCCAACCCAATCCCAGGCCCTGGAACCAAGAGAGCCGATTTCACAGGAGGGGGCAGGGTTCTCTGCAATTAGTGGGGGTGATAGAGGAGGGTCCCAGCATCTCATGGCACTCCAGAGGATCAAACTGAGGGACACAATGACCCCCCAAGAGTGGCTATGTGGTCTCCTCTTCCCCCATTGCTGGGCATCCACAACACCCCAAACCCTGGTCCTCCTCCTGCCCAGGTCAGAAAGAATCAGCTTGGAGGAGGCAGGAGCAATCTCAGGGCAAATTCCTCTCTCTCTGCAAGACCAAGTTCCAGGAACCACCTTGGTCCGACTCCTGGGTCCCTCTCTGATCCCCTCCTGCCAGCTCTCCCTCCTCAGGGGAAGTAGCAGGGGTGGGGAGGGGGCTTGCCGGCTAGGCTGGAAGCAGGCAGGGTGTTTCACGATCCCTCCCTTCCCAGACTGTGGGTGGGGCTGCCTGCCTTCCAGTCTCTGGCACCTGAAGCCTGGGCTGCCAGTTTCCCAGGAGCTGGCACAGCCAGGAACTCCTACCCCAAACACCCTGAGGACCAAGAGGGCAGCCCCAGGGTGCTACGTCCATCCTCACAAGCTCCCTGCCCCCACTCCTCCCTCCCCTGTGCCTCCTGGTTCCTGACTCCCGGTTTGGTTGCAGGTAAAAGATGAACAAAAATAGCAACAATAGCAGCTACCATTGTTTGAGTGCCAGACACTAAGAGCTTTCCATATGCCTCTCACAGCAACCTTAGGAGATAAAAACTAGTCCTCCCATTTTGAAGATGAGGTTTTGAGAGGCTGTGACTTGCCCAAAGCCACACAATGAATAAATAGCAGAGTTGGGATTAGAACCGGAGCTGGGTGAGCTTGGGCCCGTCACTTCCCCTCCAGGCCTCAATGTTATCAGCTGTAAAAAGGGTACCATCACTTAGGTCCCAGCTCCCTCCAAAGGCTGTTATGAGGCTCAACTGAATTAGATCTGGAATGCATTCTAAACACCAAGGCACTGAACAGATGGGAGGGGGCATTGGCATTATTCACTGGAGTGTGTTCATTGTGTGTCCCCCACCATGTCACAGCTGAGACGGGATGGAGGTGTGACAGCATGTGCCTTGGAGCACATGGAACTCTAGCTGGTGTGGGAGAGTGGAGCTGTGTAAGAAGACCTGGGGAAGAAGGGGTGGGGGGAGAGAAGGCTGACCAGGGCTTGAATTCCCATGCTGTCAATGGACGCAGCAGTGGTTTTTAAGCGGAAGTGTGATTGCGTACGTTGTGTGTTTCAGAATCTCATTTATGGCTACAGTGCAGAGGGAAGGCCAAAGGGAACCAGATGAGGTTGGAGGACAGTCAACAGGCAATGCGATGGTCCAGGAGAGAGGTGATGGAAACCTGGACAAGACAGTGGGAGTGAAGATAGACAGGAGATGGAGCAGGGACGACTCGGTTATTGGATGGATGGGGGGTGGCACAAATGAGAGGCTGGCTCTCAGGTCTGTACCTTGGGTGATGGCTTGGGACACCGAGAGTGACCTGTGGGAATACAGGTCAGTGCAGGTTTGGAGGGAGGAGGCGTGGTTCTGATGTGGACACACGGAGTTGGAAATGTGGCTGGGATATCTGGGGGAGAAGTCTGGCCAGCAGCTGGGTGCTTGAATCAGAAGCCTTCTCTCCTTTCCTCAGCGTCCCCTCTACTCCTCCTGCAGGCCACCAACAGTTCAAAGCACCCACCCCCAGAGTCCAGAGTCTCTACTGCCCTTCTCCAGCCCTGCCCACACTCACTGATGCACTTGTTCATGTCGGGGTTGCGGGCATCGAAGTATCCAGGTGGGCAGGACGGCAAGCAGACGCCCACCTGGCGGATGTCGTTCCTCTCCAGCAGGATGAACAGCTTGGGCGAGCACTTGAGGCAGCCGTTGACCTCAGAACAGAGCTCACAGCCTTTGGCACAGGCCTGGCTCCCCTCGGTGCTGACTGTAAGGGTGGAACAGGAGTGAGAGGCAGCTGGAGGAGAGACCTCCCTCCTTCCCAGGCTCCCGCAAGGACGGGAAGTAAGTAGACAGGAGTTTCATACTATCGAATGGATGCGCTTCTCAGAAAGCACAGACCAGGCTGGCAGCTCTCTGTCTGCAAGGCTGCTTTATAAACCTCCCCAGGATCCTCTCTCATGGGAACTAGCACAGATGCCATCCATCCTAAATGCCTCCCTAGCGCCAGGGACAACACAAGCTCACCCTCCAGCCTGGCTCCACCATCCCCAGAGAGGCCACTGAAGCTGCGCCCTTCCTGGAATTTACCCCTACCCTCCCCAGAGGAAGAGAAGCTCAGCCTCAGGTATGGGAGGAGGGTTTTTTTCTCCTTGAGGAAGTTTTAAGGACAAGAGGGATGATGGATTAAACTGAGAAAAAGACCACCTGTCCAGAGATAAGAAGACACCGAGAGTCACTTAGGTCTAAACAGTGGTTTCAACCAGAGATGATTCCGCTCCCCAGGGGACACTTGGCAATGTCCAGAGACATTTTTGATTGTCACACTGGGGAAGGAGGTTGCTACTGGCATCTGGGGGACAGAGGCTGGGAATGCCACTAACTGTCCTACAACGCATGGGGCAGCCTCCACAACAAATTATCTGGTCCAAAATGTTATCTGGTGCTGAGGTTGAGAAACCCTGGCTTAGAATCATCCTTGGAGGCAGTGTCCTCTCCAGCCGCGGCAGTGAGGCTCTGACCTCTGGTCCAGGTCCCTCAACCATTTGTCCAACCAGCACTCACTGAATCCCACCCAGGTACCATGTGTGGGGCGAGCGCTGGGGATGTGGAGGCAAAGACGCCTGGCCACTCTGAACTGGTCTTTCAGTGGCGCAGAGAGACCTGCAAACAGGTAAATGCGGACAGCCACAAGGCCAAGCAACAGTGGACTCAAAAAGAAGAATGGGAAGGAGTCACAAAGGAGGGGCCCTCCCTTGGGGCCAACTCTTGAAGAATTAGTAGAGATTTGTCCATTAGGAAGTAGAAATAAGGGCCCTCTAGCAGCAAGGCCACAGAGGCGTCAAACAACCCAAGGGGAAGTGCAGGTAATTTGGGGTGCAGGAGGGGTGGGGAGGAGAGTGTGAAAGATAAGGTGTCTGATCTTGAAAGGCCCTTTACATCATGCTAAAGGACTCGAACTTGATCCTGCCAGGCAGCGTTTCCCCAAGAGTACTCCTCGGACCACGATTCCCCTAGATGTTCATAGGAGGATGTGGAGAAAAGGCCACCGCACCAGGTAAGACTGGGAACCACTGGGACCCACAAGTCTAAACAGGATTCTTCACTGTGGGGCTTCTTGCCCCTTTCATTACGCTCCTGTGCAGAGTGACTCTCCAAGAGGGGGACAGAGTGAGCTGCATTTCCCAGACATTTTGGCCACAGAACCTTTGTTTTGCAGAGTTTTTCTTGGGACCTTTCTCAGAGGTGATTAGACAACAGGGAGCCATCAGCAAGTTTTAAGCAGCAGCAAGATCTGGTCTGATTTACATGTTTGAAAGGTTCTCCCTGCAGCCTGGGTGGGGACCAGAGACTGAAGGACCATCTGGGGGGAGGCTGACATGATCATCCAGGTGAGAAAGATGAGAAAGTCTTGAATCAGATTCTGTTCAGTGGAGATGGAGATAAAAGGATTTGAGAGATGCTTAGGGAACACAATCGGTATGGCCAGAGTGACCAATAGGAGGGGGGAGGTGATTCCCAGGGTTCTTGCCTAGAATATGGGTGAACAGTGGGGCCAGTCACTAAGAGAAGCCCGTGGAAGAGAAGCGAGTTGAACAGGAAGGAGAGTAGTCACAAGCCACTCACGAGGAAACAGGGAGCTGGGAACTGTTGATAGAGGCTGGAGGCAGAGAGCTGGGGAATCAGAACAGAGCCATAGGAGAACACGCAGCGTGCTGGACCCAGAGCTCAGACTTCAGAGTCGGCTGAGCCTAGAACCAAGTCCCCTGCCTGGGACCCAGGGCAAAACACTGCCTCTTGCGTGCCTCCCTTCCCACCACCGAAAAAGGGAGATGAGGATGCCCACTCCTGTTGGGAGGAGCACCTGCTCTGGGAATAGTCCCTGATTTCAGAACAGGAGAACAAGTGAGAGCTAGGAAGGCAAGCAGAGATGGGAAGAGGAGATTAACCATCACAACGATAATAATAACAACAAAATCATCATGATAACACTGGCAGCTGATTACTAAACATTGAACACTTGTTCTGTGGCGGACATTGCTCTTAGTGCCTTACAAGCATTTGCTCATTTATTCCTTACAACCCATGAAGTAGATAGTATTTTTTTTTAATCCCCCTTTTTACAGATGAAGAAATAGAGAGGTTAAATGACTTGAACAAGCTTCACAGCCAGTATGCGTTCCAGGCAGAGGGAACAAAGTTTATGAAGGCCGGGGATAGGACAATATGAGATGACAGGGAAGCTGAAAGTATAGTGAGGCTGATTGTTTTTAAATAGAGGATTTATTTGTATCGAGTCAATGTTGCCATTTAATTAATCAATAAATTAAAAAATTCATATCGTTCTTGCTGGCTTGGTCATTGCAAGGTCAAAAGTACCCCAAATGTCATATTGAAGTTATAAGGAAGTTCTGGGGATTATTTTCCCAATTTGGGCCTTTATTCAGCTGTATTACAAATTAATAAGTGACTGTAGATTTAGGTACCATTTCTACTTCAAAGACACTAAATTGTAACTCAAGTTTTTGGTTAATTCATTGTTGAAATTAAGTCAGGCAGGTGTCCCATTTGCAGGCCTCTGTAGCTATGTTCCTGGACTTATTTATTCCTTCCTTATCACTTTTTTTTTTTTGAGGAAGATTAGCCCTGAGCTACCATCTGCTGCCAATCCTCCTCTTTTTGCTGAGGAAGACTGGCCCTGAGCTAACATCCGTGCCCATCTTCCTCCACTTTATATGTGGGACCCCTGCCACAGCATGGCTTGCCAAGCGGTGCCATGTCTGCACCCGGGATCTGAACAGGTGAACCCTGGCCGCCGAGGCACAAGGTGCGAACTTAAACACTGTGCCACCCGGCCAGCTCCCCTTATCACTTTTGTTAAGGACGGATTTGCAAAAGGTCTTCCCAGAATCCCATTGCCCACCTCCCATTCAACCAACAGATCTCTGTGTGTGTTTTTCTTCAGAGCTATCAGTGACACAGCAAGAGACAGTGTGGCACGCACGGGGCAAGATAAGGAAGGGTCTTGAACCTGTATAAAGGAGTTCAGACATTATCCTAAAGGCGGTGAGAAATCACTGGGGGCTTTAAAACAGGAGATGTGGTCAGGATTCCATTTTTGAAAGATCGCTCTGCAGTGTGGAGGATGGATCACAGGGAGCACAAAACTGGAGGCAGGAGGACTGCCAGGTTCAAAGAGACGGAGCTGAGCCAAGAGGATGGAAAGGAGGAGACACATGTAAGATATTCAGGTAGTGAAATCAACAAGGCTAGGTGATGGATTGGACCATCCATGGGGGTGAAGGCGTGGGGAAGCACAAGTCGAGGGTGACTCCAGGTGTTGGGCTTGTGTGGCGGGGTAGCTGTTGGCCCTTCACTGAGAGAGGGACCACGGGAGGAGACCCAGCTAAGTTTTAGATGTGTTGAGGTTGTGGTTCCTGTGGGACCCCCAGGGGAGGATGTCTATTAGGCAGCTGAACCTGTGGGTCTGGAACTCAAGAGAAACGTCTTAGCTGGAGGTTGAGACTCAGAGTCCTTAACATGAAAACTGTCATCAAAGGCATGGAGGGCCATGAGATGGCAAGGAGAGTGGGGATCAAGGGTGAGAAGAGGAATCAGACATTGAAGAGAAGGACAGAAAAGGAAGGGTCAAGAGGCTGAGAAGGGGCAAGCAGACAGGTAGGAGATGCTCAAAAGCATATGGAGTCATGGAAGCCAAGAGAAGAGCACACGCTACAGAGGAGGCATCTCAACGTGCCAAGATGAGACGTCGTGTAAGGAATCAGCAACAAACAGGTTGCTGGTGCCCATGGTGGGGTGGAGAGCAGAGGGCAGTGGGAGGAGTCCAAGGAAGGTGCAGGACTAGAGCCATCTCATTCGGGAAATTGGCGGTGGAGACGGGGAGAGAACTCAGGGGTCTGTGCTGGGAGCCGTTGTTGGTGTTTGAATCCGTGGGGTGGAAGGCAGCCCAGGCAGAAGCTGTGCAGCTGGAGGAGAGGGCCAAGGGCTGAGGCTGGGGCAACACTCACGTTCCACAGACAAGCAGAGGAAGAGGGGCTCAGAGAGAAGCTGAGAAGGAATTGTTGAGAGGCGGGAGGAGACTGAGGAGAGTGGGGAGAGAAACCAAGCTGGAAAGGAGACGTCTGCAGGAGTTGGGCCGGGAGGAGACCCCGCCAGTGAGACTTGGTCAGGTCCCATCACACTTGCATTAGGAGCTGACTAGGGGACCTGCAGATGAGCAGTTTTGGAGGAGTGGTGAGGATGAGAGCCAAACCACCGTGGGCTGAAGAGTGAGCAGAAGGCACAGAGGGTGGAGGGTAGAGTGAGGAGGGGGTCAGAGAGCACAGAAAGAGACAGAGAGGAGAGACAGCTGGGAGCAGAGGCTGTGTTCACAAGGCTCAGAGGCAGGGTAAGCGATGGAGGAGTGAAGACCCAGGGATGCAGAGGGTCAAGGGTCAGAGCTCAGGCAGTAAGGCTGGCCTGGGGTAGAGGGAGGGACAGCGGGGTGGGGGTGGTCAGGGGCAAGGACTGAGGGAGCTGAGCCCCATGAGGAAGAGGGAGGGGGCTCAGCAAAGAGGAGAGGGGCTCAGTGATGGGGAGGAGTCAGTTCAATGAGGAAGGGGACAGGAAGCCAAGGTATTCTCAGCTTAGAGAGGCAAGTGGATGGGCAGTGAAGTGATGGAGAGCCAGAGGGAGGGGGGGTCTGGGGGGGGGCGGAGGAGGTCCAAGGAGTATGGTAGGGGGTGGGGGGTGGGTTACAGAATGATT